CACGTACTTGATGTAATTTTAATTTTCTTGTAGACTTATAGACAGGAGATGAGGGGGGAAGTAAAATGTATTTGTTTAAATAAACTTAAGCAAAAATATCTTGATCATTTTTTCATAATTTTGTGATCCTTATCTAAGGCATTTATATCAGTCATTGACTTGCCAACTGCAGAAGGAAATCCCAAGTGGATGAAACCTATTTGAATACAGTTTTTAAACATTATAATAATTGCTAGAGCAATTATTTTACACTGGAAGTACACTTTAATATTTTATATACTATCATTGTTTAATCCAGGCCGTTTTGTGCTTTACAAAATGGGATTGCTACAGTACACTTGTAATCAGCAGCTGGCATTAACCTACAGTACTAATTAAATCCTACAAAATCTAAATATATTAACCCTGATATTAAAAAAAAATAAAAATCTGTCATCTGAAAATAGTAGACTTTTGCACTTATTTTGCATGTCTGTAATTGACCACACCAGACAGGAGGCATGGAGAAATAAGCTCACGATAAATAATTCTGTAATGCTATACTGACTGTTTTGATTATTTCTAACACCAGTACCTGCCTCTTGGCCTCTTAATTTCTTTTTTCTTTTCTCCCTTTCAGTGTAAAGGGTAGAATACAAATAGCCTTGTTGTGCAGGATTTCAAGTTAAAGGGAACGTAGAATGGTACTGTCCTGATCTCCCAGCACTGCTTAAGAGTCTTGTAAAAGTACAATACCGTAACATGGGAAGGTCGTTGAAATTGCAACAAGAGCGTAATTTCATTAGCCTCACTGAAGATTAGGATTTATGATTTCTGCACTGGTAATGGCAGATTAGAATCAGGTTTCTGTGATTCCTCAGCATGGCTCTAGATTGTTTTAGGATAGCAATGATAATAATGAAAGAAATCCATATAAGCTACAATTATATAAGTAGCTGTATAGTTTAAGAAAAGTAAAATGCCTGTAGCAATATCCAGGTACGCTTAAAGCACAGTGTTAACAACCGCAGTGCCTTTTCAGGCTCGCAGATCCACATTCAATAAATACCTGCTTCCACACGGGTGATATTGTACTACATGAAACCATCATCTATACAACATGGTACCACTACAATGGCAACTTTAACTTTTGGTGGTTATTTATTTGGTGCTGAAAATTCTTCTGACACGTGCCCCCCATCCTCACCCGCCGCCGCCCCCCCGACACACACACAGAAGCGCGCAGGATTTTTCAGCACCTCACGCGTAATATACTGCATCGCGGTAACTGCTGATGTAGGACAAACGCCGGGTACCCAGCCAGACCCACTGCGTGGACCTCGTTTCAGTGTTCTACCCAGCCTGTGTGAACAAACATCTAGCAACACCAACAGGGTTTCGGTAATGACAGAGGTGAACGTACAGTCAGAGGAACAGTGGATTTTCAGCATCGTCTATGTTTGTGTTAAGTATTATGGTTTTCATCTGTTGAATTTCATGGATTAAAAAGAAAATAAAACAAATCAGCTTTAAATTAAAACCAGACTGTTCGGCCTCTTTGTTTTAACCATAAATACGTAGATATGCTCCAGATTGCTTTAAAAAATAATTTGTTTCAAAAAAATGCATCTGAAGTCTGTTTCTGCTAGCGTGTGCATGTGGTCATTCAAAGGGGAGAGAGGACTTCAGGTTCATGTTCGTACCACGGTTCAGTTTTAAAATTAAACACAGCTAACGTTCCGAAGCTGCCTGCTCATTCTAATTCGGCTGGCTTAATT